CTGTCCCATGTAATTTAGTCCTAATCCTGTTGTAAAACTTCTATTTGACACTAAGCAAGCCATTAAAGCATAGTAAAGCATGGATTCTAAATATAACTTTGGAAAGCCAATCCAAGATATTGGGTATCTAGCCAGAGGTACAAAACCATCTAATATTTACACCTGTAAGAAATATCAATAAAAAAGCTGCTTTAAAAATAAAATATACTATCTTTTATTAGGTTTTTAAATCTAGGCCTCTTTAATTGAATGGCAGAAGTCGGTGGACAACTCTGACAATATTTGCAGTAATGTCATGTCTTAGTTCTAAATGGGTAGAGAATGGATATCAAATCCCCCTTATTTAATGGGCATATTGCAAAGAAAAATTACTGGTTCTTAAAAAAACTGGCTACATTGAGTCTGTCATTGAACTCCACAAGAAAACAGTAGTGTATTGATCACATTCTTTCAAAGCAAAAATTTGGGGAAACTGTCCTTATCAATAAAGAACGAAATACCTTTTTATTCAGTCCAAAAAATTACCAAAAATATATTAGTGTAAATATTGCCATTCCAGTCTCCAGTTATTTAACCTGGATTCTGTTACTGTCTTATTCTAATATAGAATCAATGTTTTTCAGATCAATGGAAGGAATGTCTCAGTAGTTTAGAGAAATAGAAGGTCCTCTCTCCCAGACTTTCATGTAAAGAATCTCGTTCAACAGTTGATTCTTCAAGTGATTCCACTTTCCTCCATGTGTCTAAAACTATCAAACTTTTATCTTCCTGAAATGACCACTCTTGAAACTGCACCCACTACAAAATTGGAAACATAACTCTCAGCTCGGGAGTGCGGGAAGTACACATTGCAAGAAATACTTTTTTCTATCATTTCTCTTTCTCCATTTTAACTTAAACATCTCAGACCACTTAGAAGACAATAGACTGAGATGGAGATGAGGAAGAAGTGAGGAAACTCAGAGGGACAGAATTTACAGAGAATAACAAATTACAAGAATGAGCCACACCCCGAAGTTGTGGGCAAATGAGCATAGGATCAAAATAGCAGAGAAAAAAATATTAGGTGCAAAGGGATATTATGCATTTCAGACTTAAACTGTCAACATAACTTGGCCATTACAGAGTTTTAAATCATCCAGTTGTCTTAGACCAAGAAAGACTGGGTTACAGAAACATGAGTAGGATTAATCTCAACTTTCTCTAAGCAGTTGCAGAATAGGTGACATGATTCTGATCAGTAAAAAAAAAAAGTCAACAAGATAAATCAAATTTAGACTTAGATTCAGCTGACCAGACATAGGCATCTGCATTAGGATGAGATGAATCATGCTGGGAATTCCACCAACGATGCTGATTATCTTTCCTTTAACTGTGAAAAGTGCATTGGATGATTGGATGAGGTGTTAATGCCAGCACAAACTAGACCATCCCATTTAGCCATATCAATCCCACCTTTTGAAATCCTTCAACTAATCACTGGCTGCATCTCAATGACTAAATGCTTCCTTCCTAAGCCTTACTCCCAAATACTAAAAGGCAGATAATCACCTTAATATAACCAAACAGAAGTTACTGACATTCACTTTATTATCAAAGTTATGATCTTGTGGATAAATCCTTGCATATTAAATACTTCTGTGATCCCTTCGCTAGAGCAAATTCTAGATATGTAGATCCATTCCTATCCAATACAGATCTCCATTATATTTTCAATACTGTAAAGTTTCAGCTAGCTGTGACCTACCACCACAACTATTTCAAATTCAGCTGTTCCACCATCTATGACGATCTTCGTAGACATTACAGTGGCACACAAAGAGGTCAAAATTGAGTCGATCTTTCAAAGGAACTTGATTCCATGCTCTGTATTTCGCCCACAAATTAGAACATTCTTTATTCAGCTAAACAGAACAATTGTCCTCCTGACTTTACCAGGAGCACCACTAGGGCAATTGTCCACTTCAAACTGGAAGCTCTGTGTGCACATTGCGAAACTTCCTGCCTGGATGACATTGCCTGGTTCCTTCCCAAGGTGGATTAACCAAGGCTGTTCAACCACCTCTGAAAACATTTACTGCCACTGTCAGAACTCAAACTGGTCTGGCTTTCCAGTCTTCCTAGTCTGCTCCATTACTACATTCCATAGAACTTCTCTTCAGGAGATATTTACATGCAATGTTAGGAAAGCCATTTAGGAAGCTGGCAGTAAGGCTGGCTTCAACAAACAAAATACTGTTGAAATTTGGTGTGTCCTGCCTACAATGAGGAACACATGAAACACCTTAAGAAGTAAGAAAGAAACAATGATTTCGACAATTCATCATGCAACATTTGGACAACTTGATCTTTTTTTTCTAGAGAAAGCAAGATGAGAGCAAGCTAACATGGAACCTTGTTTAACAAAATCCAACTGCAAAAACCCATCACAAAAACCTAGTACCTCTCAGATGCTTGAACCACAACACTATCAAATGGTATTTTTGAATAGTGTGATTGTTTCTCCTGAAAAGTTTTACCAAGCAACAAGGACAAAAGGTTAGAATGGAACGCAAAAAAGAATTAATGGCAATGCAAGCAATGAATATGTGTAAAAGAAGAAATTATTTCACTAAATTGTGGAGTCTGGTCAGAACACTAAAAACTAGTGTTAACTGAGCTTTGGCTCTCTCCTTGAGATACGAAAAATGTAGAAGTACTGATCAACAGTATTTCTTTTGAATCATCCAGAAAATCAACCTGCTTAAGAACCAGTTTACTGCAATGGTGAGACCCTTAGTACAGATTAAGATGCTCTATTTTTATGCCTTTGCAAACTAACTTCTTCAGCAACCACTGCCGCCATCTCTTTGCTATCATGTGAATACTGATTATCTTCAAGGACTGTCCTTCAAAGGGAGGCTCTAACAGTGACATTACTCTGTGTACAGCTCAAAGAGGATTTGGCCCACCCCTTAGGGATGGCAATTAAATGTTCATCTCCAGAAGGCAATCACAGAGTTTACTACATCTTAACCATCTTAACTTTGTATGTAGGCCCATCCTTCCACCAATGATCCTGCTCCTGTCACCGAACGACCCCCTCTTTCACCACCTTAGATTAAACCTAGCCCTTAAAGATATCAAGGAGTGGATTAAAAATCTCTCTGTAGACTAGTTAGAAGATCAGGCAAGTACGAAAACTATGCAAGTTCTTAGATATTTTATCTGCACAGATGATGTCCATCTCAAAGTCCAGTATAGAACTTCAGTTGTCCAAATGAAGGATGTTGACCTTGGAGACATTGACATATTTGTCATAAGGAATGGGCAGATTAATCAAGTCTGAGAAAGGAATCTCTAGCTCTTTCTACATAAATCATCCAAAGCCCATAAATGGACCAACATTTTCTGAATTACTATCTGCTGGACGACAGTCCAAAACTCGTCCATCAAAGTAGAACATTTGAGAACATTTTTTTAGTAAGACCTTTGAAAGACTCTGAAGGAAAAAGTAAAAATTTTGGTCAAAAATGAGTTGACTCAATAGTTTGATTGATTACACAAATGCGAGGAACTCTACGCCAACCTGTGCTGTTCTGTGGCAGAGAACGGTTCCCTGGTGTGGCACGGAACAGGAAACGCTTGCTGGAACAAACAATGCGGTATGACAGAGCATGCAGCTTGGCACTCCTGTCCTGACACTGGTTTTGTCCCACTCTTCAGCCCCTTTGAGATCAGAAACTATGCCTTGAAGAATTTTCTCTCGATGAAGTAACTCGTTACATCTACCTTTGCATAACGAAGCCTTCCATTCATCAGGTTCATGGCTAGCTACACAGCACCTCATGTGAGGCACCCCCAGATGACACACCAGGTGACAAGAACAGGTTCTGTCGTGTAACTAGGGATGGACTCATAAGCAGGTCAACAGTTCAGCTACTTTCTGTTGGCCCATCATCCCACGGAGGCCTTGGCGGGGCCTTCCCGGCTTGGCAAACACGGTCAGCCGGGAGATGGAAGGCACGTATCCGGTGTTGGCAGCCTCCGTCGAGGGCTGTTTAGTTTCTTTTACGGCAAAGGCATCCAACCAAGGAAGTTGGGACGGCGAAGAAGCGCGTGCAGACGCGTTATGTATGGCACTACCGCAGGGCGATGGACCGGGCGCTGGTGGAGCCCGCGGGGGAGCGGAACCCGGAGGGTCGCGGAGGGGCGGCCACGGGGGGCTGCGGGCGGTGGCTCGGAGGCGTGACGAGGGCCCCGCACGTGCGTGGGGCCCCGCGTCCTCCCAGCACCGCCCCGCTCCGAACTCCGCGTCCGTCCCGCGGGCACATCCCGCACCCCCGCACCCGCCCTCTCCTCCCGCTCCCATCACCCGCGGTTTCCCGGGCGCGGCCCCGGGCGCGCGCCCCCGCCGACCCCCGCGCGCCCCCGCCGGGCTCAGCTGAGCAGACAATGGGAGATCAAAGCCGGGATGGGGTGGGGGGAGGAGGAGAAGGAGGAGAAGGAGCGGGAGGAGGAGGATGGTGCCGGGCGGCGGCGGGGGGGGGACGGCTGGTGGAGCCGGCGGGGCGGAGAGCGGTGGTTCGCGTGTGGCGCTGGCTCTCTGCGCTCGATTAGTGTTCCTGGGGAGGGAGCGAGCGAGTGTAGCCGCCGGCGGCCGGAGGGGTGCGGGGGGGCGGGGGGGGGGCGAGCACGCGTGTGAGTTGTGTGTGCGCGGGTGCGCGCGGCAGCGTGCTCCCGCGGGCGCGCGCGCGCGGTTGCGTGCGCGGCGGGCTGTGCGAGGGCGAGCCGGGAGAGCGAGCGAGTTGCGCAGCTGCCGTGCGCGCACCCCCCCCGCCGCCGCCGCCGCCAGCGCCAGCAGCAGCAGCAGCAGGGGCAGGAACAGGAGCACCTCACTGGCATTTAACGAGCGGAGCTGCTAGTTGCGCTGGAGAGAGACGCGCAGGGAGGAGGAGGAGGAAGAAGAGGAGGAGGAGGAGGAGGAGGAGGACGGGAAGAGGAGAAGGAGGAGGGGAAGAGGAGGAGGAGGAGGAGGAGAAGAAGAAGAAAAAGAAGAAGAAGAAGAAGAAGAGGAGGGAGAAGAGAAGGAGGAGGCCAAACGGACACCAACTGAAACAAAAGTATTTCCAAACCAGCACCCAACTCCACCTTGTGTGGCTCCCACAGCATGGCTTCCGAGGAACTCTACGAGGTAAGAGCCCTCGAGCCCCACCGGCCCTGCCCCCGGCCCCGCCGGCCACCCCACCCCACCCCAGCGCACCCGGGAGCGTTTTTGTTGCTCCCCGGGAGCGCCGCCGGGCTTGTCACCCACACTTGCCGCGGCTGCTGCCCCTTCCCGCTGGGCCCGGCGCCTGCGTGTGTGCCCAGCCTGGCCCCCCGCCCCCCCTTCCCTCCCCAGTTTTGCTGGAGGAGGACGGAAATGTGACTGAACGGAGGAGACGGCAAAGTGTTACCGTGGCCTGCGCTCCCCCCAGTCCTTTCCCCACGTTCACACAACACTTGGACTCCGGCAGGAGTAGGGGGGTGCTGGATGGGGCGAGCAGCGCTGACAGCCCCGGCAGTGAGCACGTCGAAGTGCGAGCCCGGCGCTGTGCAAAAATGTGAGCGAAGCCGAGTTATTGCCTCTGTCCGGGCCGGGGGGGGGGGGGGGCGGGGGAGGAGGAGGACGGCAGAGGGGCTTTCCTCTTGGATTTGTGTCCATACCGAAGTCCTGTGCCACCATCGTGTGCCTTGGCCGTGCAGCAAGCTGCGGTGGTGCAAAAGACTAAAATTTAAACTCCTCGGCTCTTCGTGCTCCAGCGATAGGGTTGAGGTTACGAGAGAAGCTAAAAAGATTGAAAGTTAAGGCTTTGACACGCCATCCTTCGCTCGTCACTCGGGAGGTGGTCAGAGCGTGTGCTGACGGGAGAGGAAGGTCTTGGGGTGAAGAAGGGAACAATGTGACAGCCTAACTTTTGAGTTTCCTATCTTATGGCTGTCAATTTCACATCCTTGCCCTTAATTGAAAAGCGTCATGATTCTCTTGGATTGAACTTCCTTGTTTTTATTTTTGCAAGAAGTCATCCCTGGGAGTGAAAAGCCATTGTTGTTTTGGAGCTGTTCTTGCCTTTTGGGTAGAGAAGTGGCTTCCCAAAACCAAAAATGCTCTTATCTGATAGTTAATATGCATCTAGACAGTGATCTATTTAAAAAATATATCCAGAGGCTGGAACTCTTAAGGTTAAAAGGAGACAGATAGCCTTCAGGACACTTGACAGAAGATGTCTTACAGCTGGTGCACATGTATCTCTCATTAATTGAGCTACATCTGTGATGCCATTGGGAACAGACCCAGTAGAAGTCAGTGGAAGGTGTCCCAGGTGGGCTTGTATGTTAAGCAAGTTGACTGTCAAGCAGAGGTGCTGAACTGATAGACTAGAAAGAAGACCGAAGGCCTGTATTTCCAAGACGGATAAATCATGGTTAATTGCTTTGGCATGTTTCCCCATCCTCACGATGTAGCTTAAGCCAGTCTTGAAGGGATCATCCTTAGAAGTAGGAGAGAAATTTAGGAACCACTCTGTGTCTCGAGGGATTGCCAAAAACTTGCTTTGACTTCGGGAAAAGTTTCTGTTTGGTTTGTGGAGTTGGGCCTGTAGACTGTGATGCGGCCAATTCTTGCTCTTTGTGTGTTGCTGTGTTAGATCAAAGATGGACCACGAGGTACTGGTTTTGATGGGCGCAAATCAACGACCAGGAAAATTCTGTTTGCTGGGCATGGACTGAGGCTAAGAATGACCATTGTGCATGACTCTTCTTGGCTGTCTTAAATTGTGTTCAAAATGTTGACTTGTTGGCTCAGTAGTCTGTGGGGCACCGTTGTCCTCTGGGCAGGTGGCGTAGTGGCCATTGCGCAAATGCCGCTTTTGAAGAACACCTGAAGGGATACTTTTAAATTTTAAAAATCAGACACATTCTTTAATTGTGCAAGTGCAAAGTTTAGTTAAGATGCCAAAATTGTTAATGCTTTTGGACTCACATGTGGTCAAGCTGTCTCTTTTTTCTGATTTGTTACTCATTTTGGACTCGTTTTGTCTTATAATTAATTTTCTAGCCATGTCTGAAAAATCATAAAATAATAAATTATTTCAATATAGTGAGCACTAATTTGGGAAGGACAAAGCCGCAAGTTGACCTGAAATGTTACTTATTAAGGAATTTAAACTGTTTTGTGAACTGCCTGTGCTATTGACGGTGGGTTTACTTTGTTTCGTGGTTGTCTTATTTATAGCTCATGCTCAATATTGTTTGAATCTGGTGTTTGAAATCTGCTGCCATTTGTTATACTTCCATTTTTCCTTTTGGATCTTGATCTAGTGTCTTGATCAAAAAAATGTTGTGTAATCTATTTGCAATTGTTAGCTTAAGTATGAATGCCAACTATTTCTGCTGATATGTGTCATGGTTCTTCCAAAACACAAATGAAAAATCCGCTTATAAAAAATGAAGGTAAGTACATTTTTTTTTTTTTTTTTTTAATCTTAATGGATTCACTTATTTATGGGATTCTTTTTATTCTGGATGTCATCCCGTAAGAGAGGGAGTTGATCTCTATGTAGGCCAGTGATTTCAAATTCAAAGATCAAGACCTTGAAATCTACTAATAGATTGGCAGTGTGACTGGGGCAGGCTGTGTATCCTCAATGTCATTTGTTCCCATGCATTTTAGAGGTTGTGGTGATGACTACCCACTATTTTTTTGCCTTTTCTTTTTCCTTTTTTTCTTTTTTTTTCTTTTTTTTTTTTTTTTTGGGGTAGAAACGTTGAAACTTTTTTCTAGATGGAAAATGCAGCAGTCAGTAATGTTGCCAGCCTCTGTAGATGAGGTGAATAACCTACTTTTTCTGCTTGCAAGTTTGTTTCTTCAAGAGACAAAGTGTTTGTTAGTGTGGTGGACAGACATGGAGAGGCTGGTGAACAAGACAGGTGACGGAAAATGTAAGAAAACGTGCATTGGGTTTTTATTTCCCCAAGTTTGTTTCAACAGGCATTGTCATCTTGTGGCACCTCTTTTTGTATGTGCCTGCTGCGATTTGTTAGTGTGGTTTTTGAAAAATCCTTTGTACAGCCTTTGGGCAAATGGTAGGGTTGCCTTCTTCTTCAATGTGACAACTTTCCTTTGACTCACTGACCTGTTTCCCACTAAACATTTTTACTTGTTCTCATCATCTTCACCAGAGTAATTAGAAGTAGACATCATTTCCAAGGTTCTTTTGGAAGCAAACTATGTTTGCTCTCTCTGCAGTCAAATCCCTTGACCTCCTTTGGCAAACTCTTGCAAGTGATGTCTGGGATTGAAGTCATCCCGAGTTGTGGTTGGCATGACAAGTTTGTTTGATGAAATGTGGAAATGATTCCATACAAGTGCTCTGTGGGAGAACTGTGTGCTAGCCAGTAGGTCAGACGTACCAAGTCAGGGTCGGTAGACAACTACTAAGCTGTGCTGAGTTTGGAAGAGTCTCTTTCTCATAAAATTTAATAATTTGGTTTTGTATTAGGTGAAGTGGAAATGCATTGAAGTTCTCTGCTGTTGGACAGTGTATTTCTGCCTTTCCTCAGGGAACTACTGGTACAGCTGATACCCATAATATATGTGGCCCACTGGATCCTCTGGCTAGGCTTAGGATGCCATGATTACTACTCATGTCAAAACATTTTTATTGGATTTTACTGATAAGTAAGCAAAACAGTTTGTATGACCTTTGCTGGTGCACCTATGCCATGATGCCTTTTCTTCACTCTGTGTTTCACATTGGCATTGGTCATAAACCTAGTGTTTTAAGGCGTCTTAACCAATTTCCATTAAAATATTACAAATTAACATATTGAAAGTCCATTACTTCAAAATTACAATTTTTTGTATCTTTTATAGAATGGAAAATATATATTTTTTTTAATTCTTTCATTGCCTTGCAAAAAACATATGCATTTTTTCATACTGTTGTCTAGTATTCTCAAGGTGATGCTTCACTTCCAATGATGATTCAGTACTTTTGGTTTTATTTTTAGAACTAAAGCCTTTGACGTTAAATTATACAGATACAGTGAAATTACAAACTGAAACAAATTTCAGGAGCAACTGGCTGAAGTTCTACAGCCTAGCATTAAGCTATGTGTCAGGTTTAATCACCTAATAAGTAAGCCCAAAGAGACATATTCCAAGAAAATTTAAACTTTGTCTATAGAGTAGTTGCCACAAGTCAAAAAAAGTGATCCTGTGGGCTGTTCTTCATCTAGCGTGCATAGTTTTTTAAACAATAGAGTGTAGAAGGCTGTTGGAAAATGCTGTCACTTTGTCAAAAATTTGATGCTGCATAGGAATTACTTAAACCCAAAGTTTCTCTCACGGCCCTAGTAACACTGCAGCGATGGAATCTTCATCATGTTTTGTGTGCATTTACTGGAAAGTTTAAACATTTGTTTTGCCTAAGTTAACTGAAAGGGTAAATCCATTATCTGCAGTATGCAGCTTAGAGTTGTAGTTTTTAATGGCTATTTGATGAAAAATTACTATTAACAACAAGTTAGAATTGGCTGTTCATGCAATAGCGATTTTTTTCCTCATTGGAATGGATTGTTTTCATTCAGCCTGTTGTGCAGGAATTCCAGATTGTCTCAGGATCTGTGTTCTGCTGATTGTTTCTGATGTGCTGATTCCCAAGACCTTGGTTAAAGATCTTGTTCATAAGGAGGGACTTACAGTCATTGAGGTGTAATGCCTGAGTTTGTATGAGTTTATTTTGACAACTGTTGGAAATGTTACTGCTTGTTTCAGGAGAGATAAAATACACAAATTTGCTTGACTGACCCTACCCAACTAAGTAAGACTAGGAATTTACATCAGATATGTTTGTGTTGCTTCCACACATTAGGAACTACACATCTGATTTAAAACAGAGTTGAGGATTAGCTGTTCATCTTCCATGGGTGACTTTCACTTCTTTAAACCAAAGCACGAATGCAAGAGCACTGCAGGAATGGAGCCATCACATTTAGTGTAAGAAACTTGACTTTTCCATATCCCTTGCCCAGCTGCTTTTCACCACCTTGATTAGCCCCAGAACTCTGGACAAAACTGGGGACAAGTGCCCCATCTTCCACTGCTGCTGCAGGGGAAGTGCCTGAGCTGCCCCTGGGGTTTTCTCCAGTGTG